ACAACTTTTCCTGCAATATGGTGATTTGAAAGTAAAAATTAGTTTATAAATAACCAGTAAACCAGGACGAAAAAAGAGAAAAACGTACCACTGGATGACGAGCCTCCACTGGTAGAAATAGTATTGAGAAAATTTGTATCAGAATACCTCATGAAACATCCAGTGTAAAGGGCTCTACCTTCTGACCAAGGCAAGCATCCCAACATGGATGCAGATGCATTTTGCAAACACGCTGCGCAGGAGTTTGCACTTAGCTTCTTCCAGCAATCAGCGAGAACATAAGCTGTCATGGTGGAAGACCCGGGCACTGACACTTGAGCACGCGCGTAACCATTGTTACTCGGTGCATTTGCAACTGCTTGCTGAATGGCTCGCCTTGCATTTTGCTGGAACAATGAACCCTTTGTCGTCCTGTTTCCGCATACATGCCTATCCTCTGGACCAAAATACTGGTCATAGAAATTGTAATTGTCCACTCGCATAAAGCAGCCATCAAGATAAATTCGCGACTTGCCACTAGGGAAGCACTTGGGAAAAAGGGTTCGCACTTCAGAGAAGCATAAGACACAGTCCGGTAATGAAAGATCACCATAGCATTGGCCAAGTCCATAGCTAACATTTGGTTCAGTGCCTGTAGCCGCTACTCCATTTCCTCTAGTTCTCATTTGTTCACTTATAGTTTCCATTCCATTAACAAAAATTGAGACGGTACCTGTTGTTTCGTTTCCACATATGAGCTGGACTATCTGGGATCTTGGTTCAGACACTGATGTATCTGGTAGAAGTAGGATCAACACAATAACAAAGTGACTAAATAACATTGAAGGGGTTGCTCTTTCCATTTTTGCCAAATGAGCTGTACAACACAGAAACAATGTGAGAGGACTAATTGAACTACTATTAGAGAAAAAACATAAGAAAATAGTTTGTTTTGGACTGTAATAGTTCGGACATTGTTTTAGAACACCTTGTTTGTGCGCACACTTGGGTGTGTGTGAGTTTGTTTAGTTAAGTTTTTATTTTAAGCCAATACGAGTCAGTAAAGCGAAGAAACACCAAACATGTCCCAAACTTCTCGCTCCCACCGGCCGGCTGATGGAAATAGACTGACCATCGGAGATATTCGTGTTACTTCGTCTGCACTGGTTTGTACACGAATGAGTGAGTTATACCGAATACTCAGTAAACATATAGACCACTTCAAATCTTTGTTTTCGAGAGGGATAATCAACTCCGCAAATATCGATTGAAACTTGAACCCTTGTATAGGTTCATAAAGCACAACAATTGAAATAGGTAGTCTGTATTGGTATCAGATCTATTCCCATGTTCCGATCTTTCCATTTTTTTGGCCCATTTCTTGGGTAAATTCTCCCAACTATATTTGGAAATTAATTGGTTATCCATAAAGAGAAAGAAATTAAAGTTTTCTTCCATGCCAGAACCATGATACTTGAGGGTGCCCAACACCTTCCCCTCAGTCAACCAAATTTCTTAACCGAAATCTCTATTGATGATAAGTCATTTGGAGTTGGACTTGTTTTAGAAACACAATTTTGTCACTTTCAATGTTGATAACCCTTTTGATCTTGAAAAATATGAAAATATTTTTTAACAAAGGCGGGACAACTGCTAATCGTTGTCATCATTGTTGTCCACTCATATCAATTATCACAACTCCACAATCACCATCCTCATCCACAGCTACCATTCCCTCAATCTCTGCAGTCAGTCATCATTTACAACTATCACCACCAATTAGCATTACCATAATAATCACCAATCATTATGGGCAATCGCCACCATCACCAATCACCGCTATTAGTCACCACCCCTATTAACTATTACTACCATCCATCACAATTATCGGTAGCCACCACCATCAATTACCATTGTTAACCACCCCACCAACCATCACCATCACTAGCTACTACCCGCCATCACTAAGGATGACATAATTATCCCATGAAATCATAACCCGCCAAACCTCCCCAAGTTTGGATTGATTATTGACCCGCCCATTTCAGGCTAAGGGAGTAACTAAATATCATCTATCCCATGAAATTAAACATAGCACAATTCATAACAGGAAAACTAAGCAATTATTGAATCTTATTCACTACAAAAACAAAACAAAACAATACCAGATATCAAATGCTATTCTTATTTATATATGTAAAACACCATAGAAATACCATAGAATATGAGTTTGAAATTTGTACAAGTAATGGGTCAAGTAAGACGAATTGAGCTATGACCCGTTGTTTAACCCAGACAATAACCCATTCATTGATTTAACCCGCCCAAATTCAGCTCAAATTAAAGAGCTAACTTCATTTCTAAAGCTCGAACTTGATAACTCTTACTTATTAAGTACGAAGGATTTTTTACCGCCTGCCACAATCATTGAATCTCACTGAAAATAGAAAGAACACTCACAAAGTCTTGTGAACACTGAACGGTTTGAATTCGCCGGATTTTGAGTCGGAAAAGAGAGATATCGCCGGTGCAAACTGATCAGCTGCTGCCGAAGTTGTAGAAACAGAGAAAACAGGAAAAATGAAGGGCAATTTATAATCCGTATGTCCACTTTTATTTGCCATGTTGGGCTTTTCGAAAGTCAATTTGACTTATTTTTAAAGTTAAATTAGATTACATTAATTTTATATTTTGAACAAAAAATTTAGGTATTCAAAAACTATACGAAAAGTACTATAAATTGCAATTTTTTTTACCTATCAATATGAATATATTGTGAAATGTTAGTCAAAGTTTTTATAATTTGACTCTAAAAAAGAAAACTATGACAATTAAAAGTGGACGGAGGTAGTATTAATTAGTGGGTCGTTTTGTGAGGGAAGTTTTTTTACTTCCAACTTTTTTTTTCGAGGCGGCGATATTTGATATCTATATTAGAGTGGATTAAATTTGAATGCATGCTGAAAAATTTTACATCGTAGAAAGGAGATAAGTTGGTGTCCCATATTTATATCATGCCGAAAAACTTTATATTGGGGGTGAAGAAAATATTCTCTGACAAAAACGATGCTATGGAGTTTGAATTTAAAATTTTTAATTAAAAATAAAGAATATTTATTACTCTACCATAATTTATTTTATTTTATTTTGTGTGTGAACAAGAGGAAGAATTTGTTGGAAGGATTATTTGTTTGAATTTTTCAAAATAAAGGCTAGGAAGTCTACAAGGGTCTTTTTCTACTGTACATTTACTGCCAAAGGAGAAGAAGAAAAGAAGAAGAAAGAAACATATTCTTCTGTTCAAATTTATATGATAAAGTTTAATTTGATACGAAAATTAACAAGAAAATAAATATTTTTGTGATCTTTGACATGTTATAATTCTATGTGTGGATGTAAAAATTTTGAAGTTTGTCTTTGAAAAAAAGATATACTAATATTTATGGTACTATAAAGGTTTCACATGCGTTCTTATTAGAAATTGATTTAACTTTCAATTTATAGAAGGAAAAACAAGTGCAGGACTTTTTAAGATGTTGATGTACGACTTTTTAGAAATATATTTATTTACAAGTTGCTTGCTTGATTGTTTGGTATATTTTATATGATATTTGAAATTCAAAAATTCAACTAATATAAATTTGCACCGCGTAAGGATCTAAAGTAGCTAACAACTCGATCGTGATAAAGTCTATTTCAAGAAGACGAGGCAAAAAGATGCTTATCATTTAGATATAATACATAAACAATCACTCAAATTTGACCTCATCACTCTAACTTTATGAATACACATCTAGACACCTCAACTTGGTCTCAACAAACAACTATACCATCCAACTCATCCTCATTGTGTTTCATGAACACCCGACACTAATGTGACACTGTGTAATCAAAATAGGGTAAGAGAGGAAAAATATTGTTGTGAGGCATTGGATTAATCAAGAGAAAAAAGATACCGTAGGAAATACACTTCACAGAACAAGACAAATTTCAAGAACGTACGGAGAACTTGCAACCCAAGGGGACTAGGATAAGGCCTCATTTGTTTGCACTTAATTGATGTCTGAATCTGAATGGTTCAAACATTAGACCATTAAAAACATATATTTTCATTAAGATTTAAGCAATTAATTGGTTTAAATTGGTGTTAATTATTAAGATCTAGAACCGAGTCTTAACATCATAAAGTATTCTTGTGAGGATAATATTCACCATCACTCTATCCACAATCACCAACCCCCACTACTCACCTCTGCCATCACAACCACCGCTACTACCACCATTGCCAACCACAATTATTGTCGTCTACCACCAACCACCTATGTCATCACAACCATCACCATTGCTAACCACTACTGGAAGCTGCTACCACACTTACCTCCTCCATATTATAATTATATCAATTGTCATCACCACCTCCCGTCTCTACATCCCCCGCTACCTCAACTACCACTCTTAACCACTACCACCACTTCAGTCTTCAAGAAAATTCCTACTACCAACAAATGCTACCATCACACTAGCACCGCCGCCAACTACCACCATACATTCTTCTATCACAACCCCACCACCGCCACCTCCACTACTACTATCAGCCACTACCATTACTGTGGTCAATCTCCACTACCAACCACCTTCATCTCATAACTAGCATCGCCGCTAACTACCACAAACACATAATCAATCACCACCATTATCACCGACAACCACTAACATCAACCAACTTCACAATTACAACCTCCAACACAACTACCAATTGCCATCATTATGATAGTCATCACCACAACACCAACCACCTCCACCATCACAACTACCACCACCATCATTACTAGACACTAACAACAACTATTACCACCACCACTACAAAGTATCTTCATCATCATTAGCAAGCAAAAATGTTTTATTCTTTTAAAATCAAATAATTATTTTATTAATATTTAACTAATTTTTGTTTGAATTATATATAATATTATGTACGTTCAGATGTTTAAACAAACAATCTTAATCATTCAAATATGTATTCAGATTCAAACGTCTAAATCTTAATGAAAACAAATGAGGCCTCAGATCCACATTAAATCAAACTCATAATTTTATATAGACAAACTACAAAAATAATTCAATCCCCCCCCCCTACTTTTAGAAATGAGGTGTCTAGATGTGCATAGGCAAAGTTGGAGTGTTTAGTTGCCAGTTGAGGCCAATTTTACACTTCAGTTTCAGGGCAATGGGATGTCATCATCTGGGGTAAAATGAACTGTGAGATAAGTCAGCAGTCGTAGCAGAATCGCCTTGTTTAAGCGAGTACATCTCGCAAGGGTCATGAAGTTCCATGGTTTTCTCATCCACGAATGGCGGCTTAGTAGGAGAAGGCAACTTTTCGTCTTTCTTGACGAACATTTGTAATGCCTTAGACATGGATGGCCGTAATGATGGAATCTCTTGAGTGCACAAAAGTCCCACATGTAACACTCTTGCAACCTCATTTTTCACATTAATTGTATGGTAGTTATGCAACATGAGATTGGGATCGAAGAGTTCCTCCACTATCCCGCATTGAAAGTGCTCCCACGCCTGTTAATTTCATCAAATATAAGAGTTAAGACCAATGAACGTAAATGTTTGTCAAGATTAAAAATTTGGTTCAAGAGAGAAGTGATTGATCAGAAATTACATTGGAAACTAAGCTGACTGCATATTCGGCGTTTTTTCTCTTGTTATTTTGACTTCCAGTAACAAGAACTCCAAAGCTGTAGACGTCTGCCTTTTCTGTTAGCTGACCGTGTGCTAAGTATTCTGGAGCCATATATCCTCTGCATAAAAAGGGTAAATCATCCCATTTTTTGTGTACTTTTACGCGAAAAATTAGAAGATGGGATGAAGAAATACTAACAATGTGCCAGCAATGGCAGTGCTTATGTGACTCTTGTCTTCTTGGAATGACCTGGCCAAACCAAAATCAGCAATCTTTGCACGGAGCCTCGAGTCCAACAGGATGTTGCTTGCCTTAATGTCTCTGTGAATAATTCGTGTATTTGTGTTCTCGTGTAGGTATACCATTCCTTCTGCTGTCCCTATAATTATCTCAAATCTTTTCTCCCAATTTAGAGCTTTACCTTTGATAGGGTCTGTCAAATTTTAAGGTTAGAATCAATATACATGACAAAGTCATTCCACTTAGTCTTAATGCAACGTCGGTTTCTTGAGTTTAACTTATTTTCACTTTTTTTTTAGTTGGAGTAATGATGACATGAGTTTAGCATAAATAGAATAGCGAGGATTCATAAGGCCGACCCCTAACTTGTTTGGGACTGAGGTATAGTAATTGTTGTTGCAATGTCGGGTTACTTACCAAATATGAAGCGATCAAGACTCTGGTTAAGGAGTAACTCGTATACAAGAAGGCTTTCCGGTCCTGAACAGCTGCATCCCAATAACCGTGTCAAATTTTTGTGCTGGACACTACTGATTATGTTAACCTCGTTATAAAAATCTGCAGCTCTGTGTTTGTTGTTGAAGAACAGCCTTTTGATGGTGATCTCTCTTCCGTCTGCCAAAACACCCTGCAACAATTGTATCTCAAACTCTGTTTAATTGCCTTGCTGTTAACATTCAGCCATTACATACCTTATAAACTGTGCCAAATCCACCTTGCCCGATCTTGTTGGCCTCATCAAATGACCCCGTGGCTTTGTCAAGTGTCGAATACTTGAAGTTCAAGCTGTTTTGATGAAGGATCTTCACTAATTTCTCAACATCATTTGCACCTAACAAGTTCAAATTTCACAGGAAAAGCACGAGTAGCCATAACGCCTCAAGTTAATTCTTGAAAGTTGTTTCGGTACAGTTGTGTGCAAATCGCAAGATATATACTCAGCAATATGTACATCATTGATATTTTTGGCACAAAAGTATTTACCTTTTCTCTTCTTCTGGATTTGTTTGTTCTTCCAAACACCAAAACCAACGAACGCACCTGCTCCCAAAACGACAACGGAACTAATTACAACAACTATGACAATGACTACAACTTTTCCTGCATTATGGTGAATTTGAAAGTAAAAATTAGTTCATAATAACCGGTAAACCAGGACGAAAAAAGAGCTAAACGTACCCCTTGATGACGAACCTCCACTGGTAGAAGTATCATTGAGAAAATTTGTATCAGAATATCTCATGAAGCATCCAGTGTAAAGGGCTCTACCTTCTGACCAAGGTAAGCATCCCAACATAGATGCAGATGCATTTTGCAAACACGCTGCACAGGAATTCGCGCTTAGTGTCTTCCAACAATCAGCGAGAACATAAGCTGTCTCGTTGGAAGGACCGTGTACTGACACTTCGGCACGCGCATAGCCGTCATTACTCGGTGCATTTGCAACTGCTTGCTGAATGGCTAGCCTAGCATTCTGTTGGAACAATGCACCCTTTGTCGTCCTGTTTCCGCATACATGCCTGTCTTCTGGACCTAAATACTGGTCATAGAACATGTAATTGTCCACTCGAAAAAAGCATCCATCAAGATAAATTCTTCGTCACTTGCGAAACTCGTTTTCTCAACCTAGGAAAATCATTTTTTCCTCCTTTTTAAAGAACTTGTTTTCCTAGATAAAATATTTTCCAAATTGACAAATAATACATGAAAAAATTGAAAAATGTATTCTGAAATTTTAAACTTACAACTAACCGCTTAAATGGAATACTGAGAATTCATATAGCCGACCTCAACTTGTTTGAGACAGAAACATAGTTGTTGTGGTTGTTGTAACAAACTACTCGATCGATCAAGAAGAAGTCTCCTTCAAGAACACGAGGCGAAAGTATATGCTTGACAGCTTGAGATAACTACAATTTTTACATCACTTTCAGTTCAGGAGCACTGAGATATCATCATCTGGGGTAAAAAGAACTGTGAGATAAGTTGGCAGTCGAAGCAGAATCGCTTTGTTTGAGCAAGTTCTTCTCCCAAGGGTCGTGAAGTTCCATGGTTTTCTCATCCACGAATGGCGGTTTAGTAGGAGGAGGCAACTCTTCGTCTTTCTTCACGAGCATTTTTAATGCCTTAGACATGAATGGACGTAACATTGGGATCTCTTGAGTGCACAAAAGTCCCACATGTAACACTCTCGCAACCTCATTTTGTACATTGATTGTATGGCAGTTATGCAACATGAGATTCAGATCGAACAGCTCCTCCACTTTCCCACGTTGAAAGTGCTCCCACACCTGTTAATTTCATCTAATAAAGTTACGATCAATGAACAGAAATGTTTTCCTAGATTTAAAATTTGGTTCAAGAGAGAAGTGATTGATCAGAAATTACATTGGAAACTAAGCTGACTGTATCTTCGTCGTTTTTTCTCTTGTTATTTTGTTTTCCAGTAACAATCTCTAGTAGAAGAACTCCAAAGCTGTAAACATCTGCTTTTTCTGTTAATTGACCATGTGCTAAGTATTCTGGAGCTATATATCCCCTGCATTATTGGACCATATTAGTCTTTGCATTTTTTGTGTACTTTTACGCGAAAAAATAGAAGACGAGACGAAGAAATACTGACAATGTGCCAGCAGGGACAGTGCTTATGTGACTCTTGTCTTCTTGGAATGACCTGGCCAACCCAAAATCAGCAATCTTTGCACGGAGCCTCGAGTCCAACAGGATGTTGCTTGCCTTTATGTCTCTGTGGATTATTCGGGTCTTTGTGTTCTCGTGAAGGTATACCAATCCTTCTGCTGTACCAATAATTATCTCAAATCTTTTCTCCCAGTTTAGAGCTTTACCTTTTATAGGGTCTGTCAAATTTTAAAGTTAGAATCACTCTGGCATGGCTATGTGAAAACATGACATTTAGTCTTAACGCGATGGCGGTTACTTATTTTCACTTTTATTTTTAGTTTGTGTGATGATAACATGAGTTTAGCGTAAATAAAATTGGGAGGATGACGCTTACATACCAAATATGAAGTGATCAAGACTCTGGTTAGGGAGGAACTCGTATACAAGAAGGCTTTCCGGTCCTGAGCAGCAGCATCCCAATAACCTTATCAAATTTTTGTGCTCAATGCTGCTGACTATGTTAACCTCGTTATAAAAATCTGCAACTCTGTGTTTGTTGTTGAAGAACAGCCTTTTGACGGCGATCTCTCTCCCATCTGCCAAAACACCCTGCAACAAATCACGCCTCAAACTCGGATTAATTGCCAACACTTCAAGTATTATATTGAATTGCACTACATTCAGCTATTACATACTTTATAAACCGTGCCAAATCCACCTTGCCCGAGCTTGTTGGCCTCATCAAATGACCCCGTGGCTTTGTCAAGCGTCGAATACTTGAAGTTCAAGCTGATGTCATGAAGTATCTTCACTAATTTCTCGGCATCATTTGCACCTAACAAGTTCAAATTTTTTTATTCTAAGTTTTCGAATAAAGATGCAATATATGTACATCATTGATATCCTAATGACTAATTTTTGGCACAAAAGTATTTACCCTTTCTCTTCTTCTGGATTAGTTTATTCTTCCAGACACCAATACCAATGAAAGCACCTACTCCCAAAACGACAACGGAACTAACAACAATGATAGTGACTGCAACTTTTCCTGCAATATGGTGATTTGCAAGTAAAATTTACGTGTTCAGCCGATAAATAACAGGTAAACCAGGACGAAAAAAGAGAAAAAAGTACCCCTTGATGACCAGCCTCAGTTGGTAGTAATAGCATTGAGAAAATTGGTATCGGAATACCTCATGAAGCATCCGGTGTACAGAGCTCTACCTTCTGACCAAGGCAAGCATCCCAACATGGATGCAGATGCATTTTGCAAACACGCTGCACAGGAATTTGCACTCAGTGTCTTCCAGCAATCAGCGAGAACATAAGCTGTATCATTGGAATCCCTCGGAAATGACACTTGGGAACGCGCATAGCCATTATTACTCGGTGCATTTCCAACTGCTTGCTGAACAGCTGCCCTAGCATTCTGTTGGAACAATGAACCCTTTGTCGTCCTGTTTCCGCATACTCGCCTGTCCTCTGGACCTAAATACTCGTCATAGAAACTGTAATTCTCCGCTCGCATAAAGCAGCCATCAAGATAAATTCGTGCTCCGTTATAAGGGAAGCACTGGGGAATAAGGGTTCGTACTTCAGAAAAGCATAAGACACAGTCGACTAATGATAGATCACCGTAGCATTGGCTAATTCCATAGGTAGCATCTGGTCTAGTGCCAGTAACTGCTACTCCATATCTTCTAGCTCTCACTTGTTCACTCAACGTTTCCATTGTACCGACAAAATTTGGGACGGAAACCGTCGTTCTGTTTCCACATATGAGCCGGATTATCTGGGATCTTGGTTCAGCCACTGATGTATCTGGTAGAAGTAGGATCAACATGACAACAAAGTGACTACATAACACTGAAGTAGTTGCTCCTTCCATTTTGCTAGATGAGCTGTACAACATAGAAAACAATGTAAGAAAATCAACATAGGCCGCGTTTGTTTGCATTTAATGAATGTCTGAGTCTTAATTCTTCATCTTTTAGTCATTATATGTGCCTTTTAATGGCTAAATCTTAATCAATCGTTAAGTTCATTTGTTCTTTTGTTTTGTCACCGCTTAACGAGTCTGAGTATATCTAAATAACTAAGACCTATAACAAAATTTTAATATCATTAAGATGTTAAGAATTTCTACAAAGATGCTATTCCAACACTACTCCATCCACTTTCACTCCTAATCGCACTGCATTTCTAGGCGGGAACTTTTATTTGAATGGACTTTCAACTATTTTTTCTTTTACGGATTTGGTTTGAAGAAGAAGAAATACACAACTCAAACAAATGTCATTGCATCTAGAGAAGAAATAAGTAGTTGAAAATCATAATTTTGGCTTAAAACATATTATTTGGCTAAATTATAACTTTTTGCTACTTTCGTACTTAAATTATTGGGTGTTCACAGTACCGTTACAACTGTTAATGTAGGGAGTACTTACCGTCCACCACAACTGCTGATGGTTCTCTTTTGTTTATATACTCCTTACCAAATTTTCAAGGTAGAAAATATAAAGACCCCCCTAAACTTTACACAAATTATTCGTTGCATACCTAAACTATTATTAGTCTGAATAAGCCCCTGAGCTTAGATATTTGATAGTGTCTTTACCCCGCACAATCTCGTCCCGTTTAGGGTAATTAAGACTATTGATAGTTTAGGCATTCTAACTAATAATTCATGCTAAGTTTTAGGTTGGTCATTAGGTGTTCTACCAAATTTGCACTCAAACAAATATATAGTCTGTTTGGCCAAGTATTTGGAGGGTAAAAATTGATTATTTTACAAAAATGGGGTGTTTGGTCCAGCTTTTGAGGGGAAAAAAAAAAGTTCTCCAGTGTAACAGAAGCTATTTTTCAGAAGCTAAAAAAAGTAGTTTTTCCATAAAGTAATTTTTTGGTAAATACTTTTGAGGAAAACTTACTATAGAGCTTATTTGGATTGACTTATTTTAGATTTGTTAAAGTGAAAATAGTTTTTAAACACTTTTATAATAGGCATAATACATAAATGCCCTTTAACTTAGCCTTACGGTACGCGTGTCTATTTATTCAATTTTATACAAGTTTAAGTGTCTACTTGTGCATACTCAAAGTTGGTGGCATAGTTGTCCGCTGAAGGCAAGTTAAGGGTCATGTTTATGTATTATGCCTTACATATTTAAAAGGGCACAAATGTGAAATAAAACCCATTAAAGAACATATTTATGTATTATGTCTTTATAATAGTGTATAAAAGAAGTGATTTTAAGTTCCTTTTTAAAGCCAAATAACAAAAATAAATCAAAAAGTCATAAATTAAGTTAGGCTTACAAATTTAAAAACACTTTTAAAAGTTTGATGAATATTAATTGCTGCTCAAGTTATTTTTATGAAACACAAATTATTTCTCACCAAAAAATATTTTTTTGAAAAAACACTTTTCCATACCAGCTAATTTTAGAAATTTGATCAAACAACTTAATAATTAGTGAAAACAGAAGAAGAAGGAAAAAAAAAAGAAACACTCACAAAACTCCTTGTGATAACTAAACAGTCTGAATTCACCCGATTTTCGAGTCGAAACTGAGAGATCGCCGGTGAAAATAGATCAGTTGCTATCAAAGTTGTAGAAACGGAGTGTTGAAGAAACAAAGAGAAAAGAGAAGAAAATGAAAGGAACAAATAAAGAAACAGTTGCTGTCAAAGTAGTAGAAACAGAGAGAAAAGAGAAGAAAATGAAAGGAACAAATAAAGTAACCGTTGCTGTCAAAGTTGTAGAAACAGAGAGAAGAGAGAAGAAAATGAAAGGAACAAATAAAGAAATAAAATTTGTTTTATTGATGAAAATGAATCAAAGTGGCTTTGTGAAGAAGTCCCTGTCTCAATTTATGTGACACATTTCGCTTTTCGAAAATCAAACAGTTTAAGTTTGATCGAGAATTTGCTCATGGAATCTTCAAATTTTTTAAAATGAAAATTTATATATTTGTAAACTACATAAAAAGTACTATAAGTCTCAATAATTGATAATTCAAAATAATTAAAAGATAAATGAAAAAATGACGGTCAAAGATAGACTTGTTTGAATCTCGAAATTCGAAATGTGTCACATAAATTGGGACAGAGGGAGTATTAACTCATTTTTGGTTTCCCAATCTGGTGTACGATATCTATATTGAAGCCGATTAAATCTGATTTGTGTTGAAATTTTTTATATTGGGCTAAAATATTTTCTAACAAGGATAATTTTATACCCAATAAAACTCGAACAAGAAACTTTTAGTTTAGGATGAAAAAGTATTTATCATTTTGAATTTTATGTTTTAATTTTAATTTGTTTGTCTAACTTTCTATTTTAGTCTGTCAACTCTTTATTTCTAATTTTCTATACGATATATATAAGGCCACAAGATTAAACAATATTTTGGTATGTTTTATATATTTTTAATCTAAGTTCATAATATTCACAATAATAAATTTGGTAGGCGTTTGGACATATGATTTCCTGTTTATTTCATCTCGAGATGAAATCTAAAATTTTCCAAAAATCAAAATTTGAGATTTTTCAAATACAAAAATTGACTCACAAATTTATATTTTGTAAAACATCACATTTATACTGCTAACCATTTATTTCATATGTAAATAAAATTTATAATTCATATCATTACTTTTTAAATCATATACATCTCATATAATGATTATTCTCACTAACATATAATTTATTACTACTTCAAATCAGTTTCTACTTTACCATTTATATTCACCAAATTCATTATTTTTTATCAAATTAATTTACCAACCAAATTGACCATAAATGGCTCAAAGTAGCAATGTTGGTTTGTCTTATCAGTCATATGAACGAGAAATGCAAGTTCAACTGAGAAGATTGAATGTACTATGTGGCTGAACTATATTTAAGCCTAGTACACCACAACTTATATATGTTTAATTTTATTTTTTTAATTGAATTAAAGTTTGATCAATAAATACTGTATTTTTAAAAATATCTTTGTGATGTATTATGGAATTTTATAAACTTTGCTTATTTGGTAAGATTGAATAAAGAATTGAGACAATTTTAATAGTTTTATAACTTATAGGATTTTTATGTTTATGATAAAATAAACAACATAAAAAGTCCAAATCACATGTCCAAACAAAACTCCAACTCTATTTAATGATTTCAGATCATAATTTATATCTCATGGCCAACTGGACCCTTAATGTCAAGTCAAAACTAAACAAACAAATTAATACGGAGAAAGTTAAAAAATTGTTGAGAGAAGTCAACAAGAGGAAAGACATTGTTGTTTGAATACTACTTTGAAAGACTTTAATAGATATTTGTGGGGCCGGTTTCCTAACTACTTTACTTACTGCCCATACCAAAATAATAAAGAGGGGAGAAGAAAAAAGATACTTCTCCTTTTAATTTGTGTGACGTTGTTTGATTTGACACGAAATTAACATGTAAGGATATACGTTTTGATAAAGTGATTAGGAATGTGGATATCTCACTTATTAGGCAGTGGCGGAGCTAGCATTTTCATCCAAGAATTCAAAATATAAAAAAAGTAAATACATGAAGAATTTATTACAGAGGCGGAGCTAGGATTAGGAATTGGGAGGTTCTAAACTTTTTGTTGATAGTGGATTTGAGCCCACAACTCTAGTGTGGAAAGCATTTTCACAGCCTCTTCCTTACCACTAAGTTGTCAATCAGTTTTGTTAGGGGTTCACGAGTTAATATACATATATATATTTATTGAATTTTTTGGTACAAATACAAGATCTACGGAAAAGCTATTGGGTTCTTCCGAACCCACGAACCCCCACCTAGCTCCGCCCCTGTGAAGAAATCGAAGAGGTTATTGTATATACATAAAAAAAATAAAAATTAAAACATGTATAAATAGAATAATTTTCTATTGAAGGGGGTTCAGATGAACACCTTCGACCCTACCTACCTCTGCCCTTGCACTTACGCATAGTTGGGTTGTCACTTGCGTCTTGTGGAGCTTGTTTTCCTAGATAAAATATTTTCCTAATTGACAAATAATACATGAAAAAATTGAAAAATGTATTATGAAGTTTTGAACTTACAACTAACTGCTTGATCATGAGTTGTGGAATACTGAGAATTCATATTACCGACCTCAACTTGTTTGGGACAGAAACATAGTTGTCGTTGTTGTAACTAACTGCTCGATCACGATGAAGTTTCCTTCAAGAACACGAGGCGAAATGATATGCTTGAGATAACTATAATCTTTACATCACTTTCAGTTCAGGAGCACAGAGATATCATCATCTGGGGTAAAAAGAACCTGTGAGATAAGTTTGGCAATCGAAGCAGAATCGCCTTGTTTAAGCAAGTACTTATCCCAAGGGTCGTGAAGTTCCATGGTTTTCTCATCCACGAATGGCGGATTAGTAGGAGGAGGCAACTCTTCGTCTTTCTTCACGAACATTTGTAATGCCTTAGACATGGATGGCCGTAATGATGGAATCTCTTGAGTGCACAAAAGTCCCACATGTAACACTCTCGCAACCTCATTTTTCACATTGATTGTATGGTAGTTATGCAACATGAGATTCGGATCGAACAGTTCCTCCACTATACCGCGTTGAAAGTGCTCCCACACCTGTTGAATTCATTCAATAAAGTTAAGATCAATGGACAAATATGTTCTCCAAGATTGAAATTTTGGTTCTTCAGAGAAGTGATTGATCAGAAATTACATTGGAAACTAAGCTAACTGTATCTTCGTCATTTTTTCTCTTGTTATTTTGTCTTCCAGTAACAATCTCTAGTAGAAGAACTCCAAAGCTGTAAACGTCTGCTTTTTCTGTTAGCTGACCGCGTGCTAAGTATTCTGGAGCCATATATCCTCTGCACATATTGTACCATATTAGTTTTCATATACTTTTACGCGACAAAAGTAGAAGACGAGACGAAGAAATACTAACAATGTGCCAGCAATGGCAGTGCTTATGTGACTCTTGTCTTCTTGGAATGACCTTGCCAACCCAAAATCAGCAATCTTTGCACGGAGCCTCAAGTCCAACAGGATGTTGCTTGCTTTTATGTCTCTGTGAATTATTCGTGTCTCTGTGTTCTCGTGAAGGTATACCAATCCTTCTGCTGTCCCTATAATTATCTCAAATCTTTTCTTCCAATTTAGAGTTTTACCTTTAATAGGGTCTGTCAAATTTTAAGGTTAGAATCAATATACATGACAAAGTCATGTGCTGGTTATGTGAAAACACAACACTTAGTCTTAGCTTAATGCAAAGTCGGTTACCTATGTTTAACTTATTTGTACTTTTTTTTTTAGTTGGTGCAATGATATACATGAGTTTAGCTTAAATAGAATAGTGAGGGTTTGTTTAGCTAAACCCCAACTTGTTTGGGACGGACACGTAGTTAAAGTCCAGTTACTTACCAAATATGTAGCGATCAAGACTCTGGTTAGGGAGTAACTCGTATACAAGAAGGTTTTCCGTTCCTGAGCAGCTGCACCCCAATAACCTTGTCAAATTTTTGTGCTGGACGCTACTGATTATGTTAACCTCGTTATAAAAATCTGCAGCTGTGTGTTTGTTGTTGAAGAACAGCCTTTTGACAGCGATCTCTCTCCCGTCTGCCAAAACACCCTGCAACAAAATGTGACTCAGACTCTATCTAATTGCCAACACTTCTTGCATTGATGTTAACATAATCACACTACATTCAACCATTACATACCTTATAAACCGTGCCAAATCCACCCTGTCCGAGCTTGTTGGCCTCATCAAATGAACCCGTGGCTTTGTCAAGTGTCGAATACTTGAAGTTCAAGTTGTTTTGATCAAGGATCTTCACTAATTTCTTAACATCATTTGCACCTAAAAAGTTCAATTTTTTAATTCTAAGTTTTAGAATACAGATACAATATATGTACATCATTTAACTATCCTAATGACTTTTATAACTAAATTTTCGCATAAAAGTATTTACCTTTTCTCTTCTTCTGGATTTGTTTGTTCTTCCAGACACTAAAACCAACAAAAGCAGCTGCTCCCGAAACGACAACGGAACTAACAACAACAATGACAATGACTACAACTTTTCCTGCAATATGGTGATTTGAACGTAAAAAAAAAAGACCATTTATCAGCAAAATTACAGTTCAGTCGGTAAATAACAGGCAAACCAGGACGAAAAAAGAGTTAAAATTACCCGTTGATGATGAGCCTCCACTGGCAGAAATAGCATTGAGAAAATTTGTATCAGAATACCTCATGAAGCATCCAGTGTAAAGGGCTCTACCTTCTGACCAAGGTAAGCATCCCAACATGGATGCAGATGCATTTTGCAAACACGCTGCACAGGAATTTGCGCTCAGCGTCTTCCAACAATCGGCGAGAACATAAGCTGTCTCATTGGAAGGACCAGGCACTGACACTTGAGCACGTGCAGTACCATTATTAGTCGGTGCATTTACAACTGCTTGCTGAATGGCTTGCCTAGCGTTCTGTTGGAACAATGTACCCTTGGTCGTCCTGTTTCCACATACATGCATGTCCTCTGGACCTAAATACTGGTCATAGAACATGTAATTCTCCACTCGCATAAAGCAGCCATCAAGATAAATTCTCCCGTTATAAGGGAAGCACTGGGGCAGAACCGTTCGAGCTTCAGAGAAGCATAAGACACAGTCGAGTAATGATAGATCACCATAGCATTGGCTAATTCCATAGGTAGCACCGGGTCTAGTGCCAGTAACTGCTACTCCATATCCTCTAGCTCTCACTTGTTCACTCAACGTTTCCATTGTACCAACAAAATTTGGGACGGAAGCTGTCAATCTGTTGCCACGTATCAGCTGGATTATCTGGGATCTTGGTTCAGCCACTGATGTAGCTGGTAGAAGTAGGATCAACATGACAACAAAGAGACTACATAAAACTGAAGGGGTAGCTCCCTCCATTTTGCCAGATGAGCTGTAAAGCATAGAAAACAGTGTAAGAAAAACAACATAGGCCGCGTCTGTTTGCATTTAATGAATGTCTGAGTCTTAATCCTTTGGATTTTAGTCATTATATGTGCCTTTTTAAGGTTTAAGTCTTAACCATTCAGATCTCACTCATGTTAAGTACGGTTGTTCCTTTATTGCCACCATCATCACTAGCATCAACCAACATTATCGCCAATGACAATCCGCAATTGACACCCACAATCACCACTATTAGCCATCACCTGATCACCATCACCACCAACAATCATATAAAGTTTCTAAAATAATTTGATTATATAGTATTAGATTAATCAACATTTTATTTGAATTTTATATTTATTAATTTTTAATTAAAGACAAATTTTATAAATTCAGTTATTTAGTATTCATATCTCAATACAACATTATATATTTATATTCAAACATCTTAATCTTAATATATATCTTAATATTGAGATGTGTATTCAAATTTGGATGTCTTAATATTAGTAAAAACAGACAGGGTAATTCAAATGGCATAATACCTCAGAACTTCGCCTAAACTTTGAACTCCATTGTTTAGGCTAGAAATTTTACTTGACTAAATGTAATGGAGTTTCAACTAATTTACATTGTTGGTTCGAAGAAGACGTAATACACTACTCAAAATAGTTGATGGCTAATAAATATTCTTTTTTCAAGGTAGAATATTTGTTGCCCCTTAAACTTTACACGAATTATTAGTTGCACACCTGAACTATTAGAATTCTAAATCACCCTCGAACTTGTCTATGTGATAGTCCCCACATAATGCCATCCTTTTAGGGTAATTAAGACCACTGATAGTTTAGGCATTCAACTAATAATTCATGCTAAGTTTAGGTTGGTCTTTAGGTGTTTCACCAAATTTCAAGTAAACTGAATAAGAAAAAAGAAAAGAATAGAGAAGATTTGGAAGGTCACAAGTGCTTCTTTTTTTCAAAAAATAAGTGCTTATTTTATAAAGGTATAATATATAAACATGACCTTTAACTCGGTTTCAGCGAACAACTATGACTTTTAATTTTGGGTGTGCATAAGTTGACACTTAAGCTTGTATACAATTAAACAAATAAATACATTCGTCCTACATGACAATTTTGTGTCCTACGTGGCGTCCTATGTGGTATTATGCCACGTAGGCACGTATGTCTACTTGTTTAATTTTATACAAATTTAAATGTCTACTTGTGCACACTCAAAGTTGGAGGGTATAAATGTCAGTTGAAGCCAAATTAAAAAACATATTTATGTATTATGCCTTTTATAAAAGTGAAGTATTTGACCAAACTTTTTAAAAGAAAAAAGGTGTTTTCAGGGAACAACAGAAGTTGTTTTCCAAAAATTAAAAAAAAAAGTTTTAAATTTAACTACTTTTTTGAAAAACACTTGAGAAAACTTACAACATGTATGGATTGAATTATTTCGGATGATTTTAAGCTAAAATAACTTTTAAACAATAAAAAGGGAAAGACAACTCCATCCAAGAAACACCTCTAAAAGCTAGATCAACATTAATTGGCCTAACACAAATGATTTCTCATCAAAAAATACTTTATTTTTCTAAAAAATAAATAAATTTACAAAAGGCATAATACATACATATGCCCTTAACTTATATCTATGCACTGTAATTTTGGATATGAACAAATAGACACTTTTAACTTATATAAAATTAAACAAGAAACATGTATTCTATATGCCCTAATACATATAGAACATTGTCATGTAATACGCCACGTAGAACGAATGTATCTATTTATTCAATTTTATACAAGTTAAAGATACATATGTTGGCTAAGGTGAAGTTAAAGGATACGTTTATGTATTGTACCTTAAAAAATTAACTAAATTTATAAATTTGGCCAAATAGCCTAATAATCTTAGTGAAAACAAGATACCCCTCTGTCCACTTTTAATTGTCATATTGCATTTTTCGAAAGTCAATTTAACTAATTTTCAAAGTGAAATTAGATTACATTAATTCAATATTTTAAGTAAAAAATTTAGATATTCAAAAACTATAGGAAGAGTATTATAACTTGCAATTTTTTGTATATCAATATGATGAAAAAATACAAATCGTTTGACTCTAAAAAAAGAAATCATGACAATTAAAAGTGGACGGAGGTAGTAAGCAGGAGGAGAAAAAAAACTCACAAAGTCCTTCTGAGCACTAAACGATCTGATTTCGCCGGAATTTCAAGTCGGAAAAGAAAGATCGCCCGGTGAAAACTGATCAGTTGCTGTCAAAGTTATAGAAGCAGAGTGATGAAGAAATAGAGAGAAAAGAGAAGAAAATGAAGGAACAAAAAAGAAGGAAAATTTGTTTTATTGATGAAAATGAATCTAAGTGGCTTTGTGAGAGAAGTCCTTTTATACTGTTTTTGGCATCCCAATTTGGTGTCAAAATAACGTTATCTTATCTGTATTGAAATCGATTAAATTTGAATTCATATTTAAAAAATGTATGTTGTGGTAAAATATTTCCTGATAGAGATGATTTTATACTCAATAAAAATCGAACAAGAAACTTTGAACTCTCTCCGTTTCAATTTCAAGTTGTTTGTCCTATTTTTTGTTTTAGTCCATCAACTCCTTATTTGGTATATTTTATCTATTTTTAATTTAAAATCACAATATTTTAAAAATATATAATTTTTTAAATATTTTCTATCAAGACAAAATTAGACAAACAAATTAAAGCTGAAAAGTAAAAAAAAATTGTTGTTAGAATTTTTCAAACTCAAGACTAAAACCAGTACTTCTTTGAAAGACTTTTAAAAGATATTTGTGGGGCTGCTTTCGTAATCTACTTTACTTAATGCCAAAACTAAAATAATAAAGAGGAGAAAGAAAAAAGATACTTCTCTTTTAATTTGCGTGTTGGACATATGTTCTGATAAAGTGATTAGGGATCGAGATATCTCACTTATTAGATAACTAGTTTTTCAACACGTGCGTTGCACATATGTTCTGATAAAGTATTTTATATTTATTAATTTTTAATTAAAGATAAATTTTATAAATTCAGTTATTTAGTATTCATATCTCAATAAGACAATATATATTTATATTCAAACATCTTAATCTTAATACATATCTTAATATTGAGATGTGTATTCAAATTTGGATGTCTTAATATTAGTAAAAACAGACGGGGTAATTCAAATGGCATAATACCTCAGAACTTCGTCTAAACTTTGAACTCCATTGTTTAGGCTAGAAATTTTACTTGACTAAATGTAATGGAGTTTCAACTAATTTTTCTTTTACGTTGTTGGTTCGAAGAAGATGTAATACACAACTCAAAATAGTTGATGGCTAATAAATATTCTTTTTCCAAGGTAGAATAATTGTGGCCCCTTAAACTTTACACAAATTATTAGTTGCACCCTGAACTATTAGAATTCTAAATCACCCCCGAACTTGGCTATTTGATAGTTTTTATCCTGCACAATCCCATCCTTTTAGGGTAATTAAGACTATGATAGTTTAGGCATTCAACTAATAATTCATGCTTAATTTAGGTTGGTCTTTAGGTGTTCCACCAAATTTCAAGTAAACTGAATAAGAAAAAAGAAAAGAAACGAGCAGATTTGGAAGGTCAAAATTGCTTATTTTATAAAGGCATAATACATAAACATGACTCTTAACTTGACTTCAGCCGACAACTAAGACCTTTAACTTTGGTTGTGTACAAGTAGACACTTATACTTGTATAAAATTAAACAAATAGACGCATTCGTTCTACATGGCATCCTATATAGCAATTTTCTGTCCTACATGGCGTCCTACGTGTATTATGCTACAAAGGCATGTGTGTCTACTTGTTCAATTTTATACAAGGTTAAGTGTCTTTTATATAACTGAAGTATTTGACCAAACTTTTAGAAGAAAAAAAGTGTTTTCAAGGAGCAACAGAAGTTGTTTTTCGAAAATTTAAAAAAAAGTTTTAAATTTAAACTACTTTTTTGAAAAACACTCTTGAGAAAACTTACTTACAACATGTGTGTATTGACTTATTTCAGGTGATTTTAAGTCAAAATAACTTTTAAACAAGGGATAAGGTACAAGTGCCCCCTAGACTATGACCGAAATCTCAGACACACCTTAACTAAACTAACGTCCTATTACCCCTGAACTCATTTTTTTTGTAATTCTATACACCTTTTGACTTACATGACATCCAAATATCTCTCACTCGCCTCAACTGTGTGGAGTTTCTGAGATTTCGGTCATAGGCTAGGGGTACTTGTACTTTTTCCCTTGAAACAATAAAAGGTTTTAGAAAGATAACTTCATCCAAGAAACACTTCTTGATCAACATTACTTGGCCAAACACAAATGATTTCTCATCAAAAATGCTCTTTTTTTAAAAAAACAATAAGGCACAATTATTCTCAAAATCTCATAAGCACACCTTAACTAAATTAAGGTAAAAGATCCTATTACCTTGAACCTTTTTTTTTATAATTTTGTACACCTTTTTGCTTATGTGGCATCTAAACATCTCCCACACGCCTCAACTACGTAGAGTCATGGAGTGTGCCATGTAAGCTAAAAAGTGTATAAAATTACAAAAAAAATTAGTTTGGAGGTAATAGGACCATAATTTAATTAAAGTGTTTCTTTAAGCTTTCGATCATAATCTAGGATTATTGTGCCTTATCCAAAAAAACAAAACACTTTGCAAAATGCATAATAAATAAATAAATAAATAAATATATATATATATCATTTTAACTTGTATAAAATTGAAAACAGAATAAGTAGGAGGAAACAAAACTTACAAAGTCCTTCGGAGCACTGGTCGATCTGATTTCGCCGGAATTTTGAATCGGAAAAGAAAGATCGCCGGTGAAAACTGATCAGTTGCTGTCAAAGTTGTAGAAACAGAGATAAAAGAGGAGAAGATGAAGGAATAAAAAAGAAAGTAAAATTTGTTTTATTGATGAAAATTATCAAAGTGGCTTTTTATACTACTAGTATTTATACCCGCGCATTGTGCGGATATTTTTAAATATCATAATTTTAGAATTAAAATTATTGTATAAATTTTATTATTCACTTATAATATTTTTATATTTTATTATTCACACGTTTCGATATAATAAATGCAGTGTTCAACCTCCTCATATGAATAGTTAGTATCAAGAATTATGAAAAATTTAGGCACTACAAAAGATAAAAATAATGCATATTATATAAACAAAAAAATTTGAGATAGAGAATTATATGAGTAAGAATTTAGTTATCTGCAGAGAGTAAATGAAAAAATTGAGAGTAATAGTAATTTTTAAGTCTTCTCCTATGATTTAAATATCGTAAATCAAAATTAAAATTGCTCCATTTTTTTAGTAATGTTCTATTTTTTCTATTAAAGAAGCAAAACAAAATTTGAAATATATCTTTTGCTTCTTTTATTTTGATTAAATCAATTGTGTTTGATATTATTATTTTTTGTCTATAACGTTATTTTTGTTTAATATATTTTAATTTTCAAATTATTATCGATGTAGATTTTAAAAAATAAAACATTTGATGAAATATTTTAGTTTTTTTTTTAATTAATAAATTTATTTCTTTAGAAAATCTGCAAATTATTAATAATATATAACTTTCCGTTGGTGTTTCTTACAATTTTATTTGACAAATTTTTATATAATTATCTATAAAATTATTTGTTTTGAAGATAATCTTCTTTTAAAATATTCAAACTGAAAAGTCGAGAATTATCTTGATGATAACATGTGGCACTATGTTGCAAAATACGGATTTATAATATTTTCTTCTTCTTTCATTTTTTGTCATGACATTTTTAAATGAATTTTTAATTATAAATCATTATTTTTTGTTTTAGTCTTGTTCTAAAACTACCAAGTGCCTTGGTATTAGGCTGCCACTTGGAATGGAATAATCCTTATTTTAAATTTGTTTTTCTAAATTCATCATTATCTTTACTAATTATAATAATATTCTTGTAACGTCATGTGCATAACCTTTGAATATTATAAAACAAATAGTTTTTGCATATCGTTATCACGTTATCTATTATTTCAATTCTTTAATATTATTTATTAACTTTATATTATTGGTCAAATAAATTAATCAATAAATAGCATCACATTATATTTGTGTTATGCACTTTATATATACATTTTTAGTGTCATGATAGCATAGTTAATTTTCAATTGATCAATGAATAGCATTACAATATATCAAAATCGCAAGGAATATTCTATTATAATGCATTTAATTTTGAAAAAATTTGTGAAAATTATTACAAAAGAATCAGTACTCTTATCATAAGTCAAAAATAAATTAAAATTGCTTAATAATTACCATCACTATAACATATGATGAAAAATAGGAATTTATTTATTAATTTTTATTTTATATATATGAAAAAAATCTATACGTATGAAATATTGGGGTTATTTAGTCTTTACCTTTCCGACAAAGCGTTTTTGAAGATTTGACATCTTAAACCTCTTGTCAATATGTGCCTTGAACACGTGTAATCAAAAGAAAGTTGAGCATTTCATGATTTCACAATGTACATATAATAATTGTTTCTTATTGTCATAAAAATAGAGTTTACATCTATTCTATTTCTACCCAAAATGCATTACATTGATTCTGTTACATCCCATAGTTTATCTTTTAACCTCTACCAAGATAACATAGAATCTTAGATAACTTCAACAAAAAATTGAGATCATTTGCATGTATTTTTTTAATTAACTAAAATAGCCGAGCTCAACTTGTTTGAGACAGAAACATAGTTGTCGTTGTTGTTGTAACTAACTGCTCGATAACGATGAAGTCTCCTACAAGAACACGAGGTGAAATGATATATATGCTTGAGATAACTATAATTTTTACATCACTTTCAGTTCAGGAGCACAGAGATATCATCATCTGGGGTAAAAAGAACTGTGAGATAAGTTGGCAATCGAAGCAGAATCGCCTTGTTTAAGCAAGTACTTGTCCCAAGGGTCGTGAAGTTCCATGGTTTTCTCATCCACGAATGGCGGATTAGTAGGAGGAGGCAACTCTTCATCTTTCTTGACGAACATTTGTAATGCCTTAGACATGGATGGACGTAACGTTGGGATCTCTTGAGTGCACAAAAGTCCCACATGTAAGACTCTCGCGACCTCATTTTTCACATTGATTGTATGGTTGTTATTCAACATGAGATTTGGATCAAACAGCTTCTCCACTATCCCGCGTTGAAAGTGCTCCCACGCCTGTTAATTTCATCGAATATAAGAGTTAAGACCAATATGCAATAAGTTCTTCAAGATTGAAAATATTGTAGTATGATAAAAATTTACAATGGAAACTAAGCTGTCTGTGTATTCGACGTGTTTGCTCCTGTTATTTTGCCTTCCAGTAACGATTTCGAGTAGAAGAATTCCAAAGCTGTAAACATCTGCTTTTTCTGTTAATTGGCCATGTGCTATGTATTCTGGAGCCATATATCCTCTGCACATATTGTACCATATTAGTTTTCATATACTTTTACGCGACAAAAGTAGAAGACGAGACGAAGAAATACTAACAATGTGCCAGCAATGGCAGTGCTTATGTGACTCTTGTCTTCTTGGAATGACCTTGCCAACCCAAAATCAGCAATCTTTGCACGGAACCTCGAGTCCAACAGGATGTTGCTTGCTTTTATGTCTCTGTGAATTATTCGTGTCTTTGTGTTTTCGTGCAGGTATACCAAACCTTCCGTGGTCCCTATGATTATCTCAAATCTTTTCTCCCAGTTTAGAGCTTTACCTTTGATAGAATCTGTCAATTTAAAGATTTGAACCAAATATGAAATGAGTTTTGCTTAAATGGAATAGTATAGATTCATATAGCTGATCCCAACTTTTTTGGGACCGAGGAGTAGTTGTGTTGTTGCAAAGTCCGGTTACTTACCAAATATGAAGCGATCAAGACTCTGGTTAGGGAGGAACTCGTACACAAGAAGACTTTCCGGTCCTGAGCAGCTGCATCCCAATAACCTTACCAAATTCTTGTGCTCAACGCTACTGATTATGTTAACCTCGTTATAAAAATCTGCAGCTCTGTGTTTGTTGTTGAAGAACAGCCTTTTGACAGCAATCTCTCTGCCATCTGCCAAAACACCCTGCAATAAACCGCGCCTCGGACTTTGTTTAACATAACACTTCTAGTATTGCATTACAACTTTTCAACCATTTCATACCTTATAAACGGTGCCAAATCCACCTTGCCCGAGCTTATTGGCCTCGTCAAATGACCCTGTGGCTTTGTCAAGCGTAGAATACTTGAAGTTCAAGCTGTTGTCATGAAGGATCTTCACTAATTTCTCCGCGTCATTTGCACCTACAAAGTTCAAATTTTCCCGGAAAAGCATGAGTAGACCATAATGCCTCGAGTTAGTTCTTGAAAATTGCTTTCAGTACAGTTGTGTGCAAATGATCGCGCGCTATATTCTCAGGTAAATATTATCATAAAGATACAATACATGTTCATCATTGATATCCTAATGACTTAATCACTAATATTTGACACAAAAGGATTTACCTTTTCTCTTCTTCTGGATTTGTTTGTTCTTCCAGACATAAATACCAATGACAGCACCTACTCCCAATACGACCATGGAGCTAACAACAATGATTACAATGACAACAACACTTCCTACAATATCGTCATTTGAAAGAAAAACAGACCACTTATCTGATATATTACGCGTTCAGTCAATAAAAAACTGGCAAACCAGGACAGAAGGTGAGCAAAAATTACCTCCTGATGACGAACCTTCACTGACAGAAATAGCATTGAGAAAATTTGTATCGGAATACCTCATGAAGCATCCAGTGTACAGAGCTCTACCTTCTGACCAAGGCAAGCATCCCAACATGGATTCAGATGCATTTTGCAAACACGCTGCACAGGAATTCACGCTCAGCGTCTTCCAACAATCAGCGAGAACATAAGCTGTCTCGTTAGAAGGACCAGGCACCGACACTTGAGCACGTGCAGTACCATTATTAGTCGGTGCATCTACAACTGCTTGCTGAATGGCTAGCCTAGCGTTCTGTTGGAACAATGTACCCTTTGTCGTCCTGTTTCCACATACATGTCTGTCCTCTGGACCTAAATACTGATCATAGAATGTGTAATTCTCCGCTCGCATAAAGCATCCATCAAGATAAATTCGCCCTCCGTTATAAGGGAAGCACTGGGGCAGAACCGTTCGTGCTTCAGCATAGCATAACACGCAGTCGAGTAAAGAAAGATCACCATAGCATTGGGCAAGTCCAAAGTTAGTGTCTGGTCCAGTGCCAGAAACTGCAACTCCATATCCTCTAGTTCTCATTTGTTGGCTTATAGTTTCCATAACTGCAACAAAATTTGGGACAAAAGCTGTCGTATTATGCTCGAGTTGAGTACTACATGTGATCTGGACGGTCTGCGATCTTGGTTCACACACTGATGTATCTGGTAGAAGTAGGATCAACACAATAACAAAGAGGCTACATAAAATTGAAGGGGATGGTATCTCCATTTTGCCAAATGAACTGTACAACAGAGAAAACAATGTAAGAGGACTAATTGATGTAACATTTAACTGACAAAAATAGACACCAATCATTACATCAGTCACTACTATATATCGTCAATAATCACCATATTAGTCACTACCATCATTAGCTATCATTACTATCAACCACAATTATCCGTAACCACGACCAACTACCACCATCAACTGACAACCACTATCGTTAACCACTACTGTTAACTACTACCCAAGACCACCACAAACCACTTCTCTTCTTGATATAGTATTAAATGAATTATGTAATTGTCAAATTAGGCTTTGGGCTTAACTCACACTCCAAAAGCTAGCTCAAAGAGAAGAGGATTGTTCACGCCTTACAAGGAGCCCA